CTGCTGAATTATTCCTAAATCAAGGGTCGTCTTCTTCGCAGGGATGTTCGTGGCGAAGTTGGAGGTGAATAAGTAAGCAAGCGTCCTGAAGTTATTTACACAACCAGTCGGCAGGTTGCCGAACCATTGTTGTGCGATTCCTTTGAGAGTCGCTGGGAAACACTTGCACCAAGTGGGATCATCCAACCCTTGAAGGTACATCAGGTTGGTGAATGCCATCAGATGGTCTTCTGGGTTAGTAGTGCCGTCATAGGCGCCTACTAATACATTTTTCACTTTGGTCGGCTGAGCGGCTTTAGTAATTTCCTTGGAGAAGGCCGACGGCTGTTCACCAAGTCTAAGCAACCGTAGCTGCCAGTCCATAGGTTGGACATTTTTTGCTGCTTGTCCACCAAACGGAGGTGGCTGTAAAAAATACTGTTGTTTCGGTACAAACGGTAAGTTTGGTACCGCCTGGTCGCTATGAAAGCCGGACTGACGGGAGGTGCCGCCTGACTGACTCTCATGATACGACTGAGTATGCCTCATTGAGGTATTTCGCAGACTGTCTTGTAAGTTTGAAGTAGATGCCGACTCTGACAATCGGTCACTCTTCTTCTGCTCTTGCAGTAGCCGAGCGTCTGTGTATGATTTCCTCGACCCGTCCGCCTGAATATGACGAACAGGTTTCCTATTTCCTGGAGTAAGAAAACGGTATTTTGTGAAATCAAGGGCAGTCAACTCCCGCTTCCTAGATTTAGGATGAGGAGTCGCCTCTCGCCCTTGAACTGGCTTCCTCTTCTGTGAAGTGGAGGGTTTCTTAGCCGACTGCTCCTTGTCCAGAGCAGGCGGCTTCTTGTTGATCAACTCTTGAATTTCTCCCTTGAAGTCCCTCATGAAGGTCATGAGTTCGTTCCTTGTGATGGGAGCAGACCCATCAGTCGGCTGCTGCCGAACAGGCAGTGCGCCTGCTGGCTCGCTTCCTGTATGAAGATGTTCCCGTTCCCTCCTTTCGGTATGACGGGTACGTCGGGCCCTTAGGGTCCTGTCTGAAGCTGTGTGAGCTTCAACTTTAAATTCATTCTCAGTATCGTGGTCCGACTGAACTTGAGGGTCGTCTAGGGGACGCCTCTCTTCAGGAGTCAGTACAAACGTGGATGCCATCTCAGAAGTACTCTCCCCACAGACGGCGCCAAATGTTTCGGGGTTTTCTGATGTCCTGCGGGAGAGTTACAATTCCGAGACTGGAACCGGACGCCTGTACCTGCAAAACAACGGAGACTCCTGGTGGTGGGAGCTCCGCCTCCAACGGTCAAGTTAGTACTTGATTAAGGAGTAATTAATGCGGAAATTAAAGTGATTGGGTCTCTCTAGGTGAGAGTGTTTAATGTAGGTAATCTACTTTTTTAGCGTGATCAGCCTGTTATTCCTGTCATCTCCCATAATGAGGATTAAGGGAGGTATTTATAACCTTGGGAAACGTGCTAATCCTAGGTTTAGGTTAACCTAGGGCTGATTGGGCTTCCCTCGGAAGTTGGGCCTGGGTGGCCGGTTTCTCCATTAGGCATGGAGTATGCCACGTTTCATGACATAATAGGTCCAAGGTGGACAAATAAGCGGGTGCCACATGGCAAGCCCTGACAGGTCCAACTGAGGGACACTTGGCAGGACCTGATTGGCCCACGTGGCGCATTTCGATTGGTGGGAGCAAAATCCCCTAATCAGAGGTGGTAATGGAAGAAGGGAAATTTTTGGATCTGGATATGGTATTGAGAAATTTGTGCGTATTAATATTGTTTTAGGAATTAGGGTTTGAATTGAAAAAAAGCTAAGGGACGAAAAAAAAATATGTAGTACAAAAAAAAAAAAAATACATACAATACTTAATATCAAAGTGTTACAATAATGTGTTGCTTAATATCAAAGTGTTACAATAAAATGTTACATGATATCAAAGTGTTACACTCAATTGTTACGTGATGTTAAAGAGTTACAAATGTTTTACTTATAAATTAGTGAAGATTCTAACTTTCAAAGTGATACCGTTTGGTGTTACCTAAGATCACTTTTGTAGTAGTGTTTTGTCCTTGCCTTGTACATGCTCGCACTATCATAGGCATCCATTCTCAACTCTTCTAAGTCATGTAACTCAAGAAGTCGGTTCTTACCTGCACTATGGAGATTGAAATTGATTTGTTTGATAGCCCAATAAGTTCGACGCTCCATTTCTACCGGCAAATGACAATTTTTTTCCATAGACAATCTTATAGGGATTGGTCCCTATTGAAGTCTTGAAAGCGGTCCTATACACCCATAAAGAGTCATTGAGCTCAGAGGACCAATCTTTCCTTGTCCTAGCCACCGTCTTCTCCAAAATCACTTTGAGCTCCCTATTGGTGATCTCCGCTTGACCACTCATTTGAGGGTGGTAAGCAAGCACTCTCTTGTGAGATACACCATACTTATCGAGAAGTCGGGTAGAGTTGTGGTTCTTAAAATGCGACCCCCCATCACTAATTACAGCTCTTGGGACACCAAATTTTGGAAAAATCACTTTTCTTGAATAAGTTGACTACCACCTTTGAATCATTCTTAAGTGAAGCCACGGCTTCCGCCCATTTCGAGTTATAGTCAATAGCTACCAAGATGTATTTGTTTCCTTGAGAAGAAATAAAGGTCCCATGAAGTCTATAGCTCATACATAGAAGACCTCGAGATCAAGGATGGGGTTTTGTGGCATCTCGTCTCTTCTAGAAATGTTCCCCGTCCTTTGACACCGATCACAAGTCTTGACAAACTTCCACGCATCCCTAAATAGAGAGGGCCCAAAGAGCATAGATTGCAAGATCTTGGAGGCGGTTTTTTTAACACTCATACGCCCACCACAAGGAGGAGAGTGGCACATATGAAAAACACTTTGATCCTCGTCATTAGGGACGCATCTTCTCAATAAACCGTCAACCCCTCTCTTCAAAAAAATCAGGTCATCCCACATATATCTCTTGGCCTCATGCTTGAGTCTTTGACGTTGTTGTGAAGTTAAATCCGGAGGTATGGAACTACAAGCCAAATAATTCACTATATCCGCATACCATTGTTTTGTTTTCACCTCAAGAGCATTTAAAACATCATCCCTTAGGGCATCCTCTATCGGCAATCCATCGTCTTGAAACCTTGCACCAACCAACCTTAAAAGGTGATCTGTCACCACATTTTTTGCCCCCTTCTTGTCTCTCATTTTGTAGTCAAAATCTTGAAGGACTAAAACCTATATAAACAATCATGGCTTAGCTTCCTTCTTGCTTATCAAATATTTGAGAGTTGAGTGGTTGGTGTACATTATAGTCATAGAACCAATGAGGTAGTTTCTAAACTTCTCAAATGAGTGTATAACAGCCAAGAATTCCTTCTCGTTAGTTGTATAATTCTGTTGAGCATCATTGAGAGTTTGGAAAAGTATTGAATCACATGAACTTTTCCTCCCTTTCGTTGCCCAAGATTTGATCCAATAGCCTCATCTCTTGCATCATACATGAGTTCAAATGGTAAAGACCTACCCGGTCCTTGGACAATTGGGGTGGTGCAAAGTGCCTCTTTCAACCTACAAAACGACTCTTGGCAAGCATCATTGCAAGAGGGATGTAAGAGGTTTAGCAACTAATGAAAAATCTTTAATGAAACGCTGATAAAACAAGGCATGGCCAAGAAAAGATCTCACATCCCTCACATTGGTGGGGGGAGCAAGTTTCTCAATGACCTCTACCTTGGCTTTATCAACCTCAATGCCGGCATGGGAGATCTTTTGCCCAAGAACAAATCCACTCTCTACCATAAAATGGCATTTTTTCCAATTCAACTCGAGGTTAGCTTTCTCACATCTTTCTTGGCAACGAGATAAATTGGATAGACAATATTCATAAGTGGCTCTTCCAACGGAGAAGTCATCAATGAAGACTCTTATCTCGTCTTCAATCATGTCACTAAATATTGACATCATGCGACGTTAAAATGTTGCGGGGGCGTTACAAAGTCCAAAAGGCATTCTACGATACGCATAAGTACCGTAGGGACATGCGAAAGCCGTCTTGACTTTATCCTTAGGGTGAATCGGAATTTGAAAAAATCTCGAGTAATCGTCAAGGAAACAATAGAAAGAATACTTTTAAGCCTCTCCAACATTTGATCAATGAACGGTAATGGAAAATGATCTTTGCATGTACTTGTGTTGAGTTGGCGATATTCAATACACATATGCCAACTGATAATAAGCCTAGTAGGAACTATTTGATCATTATCATTTTTCACTACCGTTATGCCACCCTTCTCAGGCACAACTTTTATAGGAGATTCCCAATCACTATGAGCAATTGGGTAGATAATTCCCGCATTAAGAAGATTAGCCACTTCCTTCCGCACAACCTCTTACATTGAAGGGTTATGCTTCCTTTTCCTTTGTCTAACGGGTCTAGCATCTCCTTCTAGATGGATTTTGAACATGCATAAGGATGGACTTATACCTTTGATGTCATCAATGGTATATCCCAAAGCCTTCTTGTATTTTCTCGAAGCATTGATCAAGAGGGAGGTTTGCTCCTCCATTAGATTACAATTGATGATAATCATGGGGAAAGACTCATTAAAGTCAAGATATGCATACCTCAAGCCCAAAGGTAGAGGTTTCAAGTCTACCTTTGGTTCTCTCCTACCATTGAAGCTCTCTTCTCTTTCTTCAACTTGGAAGAGGTCATGAGTGAAAGGGGTCTCTTCCTCGATGCTTTTATCCTTGCACTCCCTTTTTCTTTCTCAAACAAATCCTCATAAAGTTGCATGTCCTTCTTGTGAGCACCTATCTCGAATTCATTTAATAATACACTTTCAAGAGGATCATTAGTAGCATGCAAATGGGAGCGAGAAAATTCATTAAGCATAGTATCAAGAACATCAACTCTAAAACATTCACCACTTGAAGAAGGTTGTTTCATGATACTATTCAAATAAAATTTAATTGAATCTTTATCAATTTATAGGGTCATCTTACCCTCCTTCACGATGATTGCTATAGAAATAGCAAGAAATGGTACACCCAAAATTATAGGAATCCTCTCATCCTCATCCACCGCTAGCACATAAAAGTCCACAGGAAATGTGAACTTTCCAACCCTAACGGGAATTTCATTAATTTTACCCATGGGAAACTTGGTAGAACGGAATAGGGCATAAGACCCACTCTTGCTTCTAAATCACACAACGCTTTTTCAAACTTGACACCATTAATGGAACAAAGATTGGAGAAGCTACCCGGACCTTTCAACTTAGTAGGATGCTTGTTGGAAAGGATAGCACTACAATTTGCAGTTAAGTTCACCGTTTCACACTCCCTTCTCCCACTCAAGAGGTCTTTCAAGAACTTGTAATAGTGGGGCATTTGTTTCATTGCATCAACAAAAGGAAGAGAAACATGCAAATTCTTTATCGCAGCCAAAAACTTCCCAAATTGGGCATCAAGTTTAGTTCTCACAAATTGTTGTAGAAAGGGTAGCTTTTCCTCTCTAGGTTGGCAATTTAGGGGCAAAGGGGTAACTTTATCCTTTGGCACCTCAACGTCCTTTTCTTTGTCAACACTTAATGGCTCATTGGCTCTCTCACCCTCATTCTCTAGCTCCACTTCTTCTTGAGGCTCTTCTTTCACTAAAGGGTCACTCCCTACTACCTTCCCACTCCTAGTTGTCACTTCATACAAAGGTTTTTGGTTGACTCCTTGACTTGGAATGGTGGAAGAAGAAGAAGAAGAAGAAGAAGAAGGGGATGAATTAGAAGCAAGGCGAGATATATGAGTTTTAAGCATTTTTATATGAGCATTGTTTCGTTTTTTTATCCTCTTCATATCTCCTTTGTTCCTGTTCATGCCTCCTTTGATCTTCTTTGCACAATTTCAATAAGGCATCTAGTTTAGCCATCACGGGATTTTTGGAGGAGCTTCTAGTTGAAGAGGTTGTTGCGGTGGGGGGGAGTTGGGGTTGATGGAAACCCGGAGGCCTATTAGTTTGGCATAGTTAGCGACATATTGACCCCCATTGCTTCAAGTGCCTTGATTAGGAACATTGATTTGTTGATTGTTTCCCATGTTACTTTTTTCACCAAAATTTTGATTTTGATGGTCATAGTATAGGGAGTTAGTTTTGATTACCATACCCTCTTTGGTTAGAGTAGCCTCTTCCATTGAAATTGGAGGGCCCCCCTCCACCATGATATTGGTTATCATAACCACCACCACTTTGGTTCCAATCACGGTTTCCACTTTGATTCCAATTCCCCATTTGGTTGGGGTTTGGCCTCATGTTCCCCATATTCCCCATTTGAGGAGAAAAATTCATAGCATTAAGTTCTTACACTTTATCATCATGTTCTTGGGGAGGGGGTTGAACTTCACAAGAATATACACATTGAGAGGTATCATGATCATAGGTTCAACAATTAGCATAAAACATACTTCCATGAGGCATTGAATTGTAAGAATAAGAAGAAGGAGCGTTCATACCATTGCCTCCCTTGGTTGGAGGGGAGGTGTTCCTTTGAGGATTGGATCTCTCTTTCATTAGCTCATCCATTTTCATGGTCATCTTGGAGATTTGGATGGAGTTGTTGTTGATTGTGTTAGCTTGCTCTATAGCATAAACACCCTTGCTAGATGTAACATCCCCATCTCGTTCATACCTGTAGACACCTAAAAATGTCTCCCCAAAACCAAACCCGATGATGAACAACCTTTCACCGTCATTATTGGTCAGGTAGGATACTTAATTTTTGGAGTGCTTAAATCCATATTTAGATTTCATAAAACAACCCAATTCCTAGCCCATTTCCCCAAACTATAACTTATTTTACTTTTTTCGTGCCTTTAAACCAAAAATAATTCATTTCGTGTCCTTTCTGTAAAACGTTTAATCCATTTTATTTTGGTCCATAATCTGGGTTCAATGATTAAATAGTTGGATGGGGATTTAAAATAGCTTTCCAACGATATATTATAAGTCCAAATCCGAGTTATAACGAATAAGTTATGGCCAAAATATTAAACTGAGCCCAAACCGAACCTAAGCTCACCTTACCTACGACCCAATGATCATGTGGAGGGTCCAAATTATTTAATCCCATTCCTAAAATAATTAGGATTAATTAAAAACTTCTATAAGTTACTAAACGATTTTAATTATCCTTTTTGAAAAGATAAGATTAAAGAGTTTGAAATTGAATAAAACTCCTGTTTTTGAAAATCCTATTTATATCCGAATTGAAAGACGTTCAAAGATAGACATATATTATTTTAGTGAATCATAGTTTTTATCTAAATTTTATATGGTTGGATATCCCTTGAAATTATCTTTCCAATGATATATTATAATATCAATTCCGAGCTATAACGGAAAAGATATGAATAAAATGTCAAACTCTATCCAAAACTGACACCGTCTCACTATTTCGGCCATATCTTTTGTTATACAAAATATTTTAATCTGATTCTAATTGGGTTAGAAAGTAGAATTCAAGAGCTTTCTAAGATATCTTATTCATCTTATTCCAATTTCTGGATCAAAAGATATGATAAAAACAAAAATCACAAAAACTGTTGTCTATCGCAAGAGTTTTAATCCGATTAGTATTCGATCTTTTCTTAATTCTTCAACCCTTCTTTTTTTTTCTCTATAAATAGAGGTCATATAAACCCTTTTTCCAATCAACAAGCTTGATCATCAAATCATTCTCTTCTCCCTCTTTAGCCTAAACACTAGCCTCCCCATTCTTTCACTATTTCTTCCTTTAAGCACTCCAAGGAGTCCATACAATACTTGAAGTTCTATACTTAAACCAAGGCGTGAAAGTTATAATTAACTAAGGGTTTGGACCAAATCAAATATTTTTATTTAATTTAATTTCCATTTGATTTATATTTTTATTGAAGTTACTAACAGTTTATTCATGATGTAGCAATTTAAAGGAACGCGCGGAATGATTAGGTTATTTTATTTTTGATTTGACTAACACTATTATGGTTAAATTGCTTCCAATATTAATGTTTATTCTATTATTATTTATGATCACCATATTGCATGTTTAAAGGGAATATGTAATTGAAAATCACGCCTAATAAGATAATTTGGACAACCGGTTTAGGTTCCTTTTTAATCTTGTTATTCATTCAAGTGATCAAAAATATTTTAGAATTATATGTTGCATTAATATTAAACCAATTTAGCTTAATGATAGTTTGGAGCAAATTGAACCTTTGTTTGCATGCCTTTGAGATCGCAGGAATTACTTTTCACTATAAGAATCGAGTAGAAGCCAATACGGGCGAATGTGACTCCATGACTCACTTCGTACCATCATCCCCGATCCTCCTTTAGTGGTTCCGAACCATATGGAGTTATTAATCTCATGGATTATGAATGGGGTGTAACCTTCATGGGTCAATCGTTGTTGCCTATCGTTGTCCCTTTATCGTGGTTGTCTTTTATGATCCGTGAACAGTTTACAAGTTCCTTAAAAACTTGTTGGCGGCTCCCTACTTTCCTTGTCCCTAATCGTATATATCAATTCCCACTTCCTATGAGTGCCAAGCATATTCACACATGCTCTAACGTAGGCGCACTTCGAGCGACGCCTAAAATTTGGCGACTCCACTGGGGAGGATTCTTGGTTATTTATCGATTTGAGTGATCGGTATTTAATTAAGATGAGTGGATGAGACTTGAAAGATTCTTGAATTGTATTCCTGCGATTTAATTGGCATTGTCACATTTTCATATGATTTTTTTTAGGTTACCTATTTTGCCACAATAGTACGTGTTCTACGTATGTGGCTAGCCCAGGGGATATAAGCTCTATCAACCCAAAAACGCTCATGGCAATAAGGGTTCATCCGAGTTTTTAAATCCACCCAAACCATGGAGTCGAGTTTGATTTCAGCACGAACTTGCGGAGCCTCCGTTGGCATACACCCTCAAGGGAGGCTGCCTTGCTAACGCGTCCAAACTCTTAACCATGGTACCCTTTGACACCCAAAAGCTGGACCATAGTCGAAGATAGAACTTGACTTTAGGTTGCGAACTTCATTGCATCATGCTTGACGATGTGTTTATATGTACATTTTTTTTTTGAATTTTTTTTCTCTTATCAAAACCCCTTTTTTTTATTATTAGAGTCAAGCCATAGATTTTTTTTTAATTTTTGAGTCACCCGGATTTTTATTCCCGTATACTGCATAAAGGTTAACTTGTTACGTGTCGTGCCCCTTTGGATCTGTAGCCCCGAGTTTTATCTTTCATTTGGAATTGGTTTCATCCCAATCAGAGTCACAGATCAAAAGTTATAACCGATATACTACCGCCTGTCCAGTTTAGGTGTCTTTTTAGCGTTACCTTTTTTTTTAAAAAAAAAAAAATTAAAAATTTGTGTCAAGCTAGTCATAGCCAAGTCCTTTAATCCGTGTCAACTCAAATAACATAGGATTATAGATTTTTATTTATTTATTTTTTATACCCATAAGTCATAACTCTTCTAGAATTCTAGTCATCTTCCTAGTTTCTTGTGATTTTTTGTGCTAACCTTAACATGTGTTCTCTGTCTTTGATTGGGGTTGATCTTATTTATGACTAATGATTGTCAATGGACCATTTTCACCTAGTAGATAGCATAAACATTAAAATTGGACAAAATTAATCAAGTTAGTTTGTCTTTTAGTCTTCCGTGCTATTTGGTCATTGGGTCTTTTGTTTTTCTCAACATCCTCATGTCTAGCCATGCGATCATACCACGAGTCTTAATAAACTCACCTAATCACATATGTTGAGTCATTGCACACACTTCATCTTCGAGTAACGCACTATATTGTTTATGATCGTATACTAGGACCATGCATGCGTCATTTTCCCTCGTAATATGAATGAGTGGAGTATTTCCCATCAGTTTTTAAAATTTTTTCATACACTCTTCCTTTTCAATATGAGTATTGAGTCAAAGCATTAAGTGAGATGATTTTGTTCCATGATACTCGAGTTCAAGAATCACTAGTTAAGAGTTGGAAGAATAAGGGGAACGTCATTCCTTCCTTCTTTTCTTCCAATCAAAGCATCAGCAATAACAAAATTCTTGTTCCTCTTGGCGGTAACAATTAATTCATAAGCAACCATGAAGACGAAGCACAAGACAAGTTCCCATACAAGATTTCATTTTTTTCTCTTCTTTCGTTTCATCCCTTTTCCCTTAATAATTAGTCTAGCATAGGTTCTTCTTATCCTTATGTCTATATGCCATGTTCCATCAATGAGCATTTCTTTCCTTTGCATTCGATCATGCCATTCTAAAAAAAAAAAAAATAAAATTGCCGAACTAAATACAAGGTACACCAATGACTTGAGGCACCTTTGGAACCCTGTCATTCCCTATTAACCATTTAATCACATATCCATTTCTTCGTCAACCACTTTGAGCCTCGTCTAACGATTGGCCTTATTTATTCAATCCACATCCACTTAACCCTGGGATGGGAAGGTGTGCAATTTGTGTAACAATCAGAAAGTAAGTTCAAATCAAAAAAAAAAAAAAAAGGGAAAAGAATAAGTAAATAAAAAAAACAATGTCTAAAGGCAAGTGTTCCAATGTGTCCGATATGAACATGTCATAAATTGCGTCTCTCATCGACTGTTTGGTACCGTGCCTGAGAAACATGAATGCTAAGTGAGTGATGGACCACATGATCTGAGATTGCCTACATTGATTCACAAGAATGGAAAAAAGAAAAATAAAAGAAATTCAAAACAAAAAAAAATATATGAAAAATAAAACTTGCAAAGTCTAATACATAATTTCATATCTTGGGGGCTTCTCTTGGGTCTTGATCCTTTTACCCCTTTCTTCTATAAACCATCAACTTAACCACATTACAACCCTTGAAAGACCTCTTTGAGGTGTACCACACTTGTGCAAAGTTCGGTTAGAGCTACGTTCGGCCTGATTCCTAACAGATACGTAGGCAACCTCACATTGAGGTGCGGCCACATTCATATCCATGCATGATCGAGTCAAAGAATATCCAATGCTTACCCCTACCTATTTAGAGCTAGACTTGGGGACTTGAACCCACATCATTTAGCCTACCTAGCCTAAAGAGTCATCATCTTTGACTCTTCTCACATCTTTTTCCATCATCATAACCTTTGCAGCCAGCCTTAGTATCACATTCACACACTTTACCCACACATACATAGCCATATCATCTTTCCCTTAGGAACCCTTTATTGTGAAATCTTGTTTCCCTACTGTGCATGCTTCATCATCTTTCAAGATAACATTCATTAGAAGAAACGTTGTATACTTGCTTAGCTTCCTGACCTGAGCAATATTCATTGTTTCACGCATCGCATAATGTGCTGAGCAACATTTTTTAATCATACAAAGCATATTGTGCTTAGCTCCTTGACCTAAGCAACGTTCATTATGCAATAATCACTTAATCTGTATACGTGCTTAGCTTCCAGACCTAAGTGACGTTCAAGATCGTTTCTTTACACTATATATGATGCTTAGCTCCATGATCTAAGTTCATTCATCATGTCACATGATGTAATTGTCCTTAGCCTCCTGGCCTAAGGACATGCATCATGCATACATTACTTTCAAGAAAAGCAATTCAATCCAAGAGATTCATTTTGTCTTGCTCAACGAGGAAGTTCAAAACTTCTTTCCTTTTTCGCGTCTTTTCTTTTAGGGAAGTTCAAAAACAATTTCAAAATTTTTTCTCATCGAGGGAAGTTCGAAAATAAAAGTTCAGTTTTCACATCTTTTTTTTTCGGGAGAAAGTCGGTACCTTCCACTCATGACAAAAATTGACGGAAAATGTTTGCTTTTGCATCATCGTTTGCTTATGTCTGCACACACACATATATACACACACACACACACACTCACAAGTCATAGACATGTCATGTCACATCAAGTCAAACTTGGTCAAGTCAATCACAATATATACGAGTCCATTGGCAAATTTATTTTTGCAGGTCTCATCTACAGCCCACGTTCGGGGACAAGCGAACCAACTACAACCCACGTCCGGGGACAAGCGGACCATCTACAGCCCACGTCTGGGGACAAGCGGACCATCTACAACCCACGTCCGGGGACAAGCGGACCATCTACACCCCACGTCCGGGGACAAGCGGACCATCTACAGCCCACGTCCGGGGACAAGCGGGCCATCTACAGCCCACGTTCGGGGACAAGCGGACCATCTACAACCCACGTTCGGGGACAAGCGAACCATTTACAGCCCACGTTCGGGGACAAGCGAACCAACTACAGCCTACGTCCGGGGACAAGCGGACCATCTACAGCCCACGTCCGGGGACAAGCGGACCATCTACAGCCCACGTTCGGGGACAATCGAACCACCATCATTTCATGACGTAAGGTTCTCGATACACAGAGACTTGCAATCTCATCATCAGTCGACTTTCCTCAAGCATGGAAAGTATTATCCGGTGGATTTCTTCAAGCATAGAAAACCGCCAAGTCGGCTTTCCTCAAGCATGGAAAGCGTTATTGGTGGATTTTTTTTCAAGTATAGAAAACCGCCAAGTCGGCTTTTCTCAAGCATAGAAAGCGTTATCGGTGGATTTTTCTTTAAGTATAGAAAACCGCCAAGTAGTTGGCTTTCCTCAAGCATGGAAGACATTATCGGTGGAATTCTTCAACCATAGAATGACACCAAATTCATATGTCAACTTTCCTCAAGCATGAAAAGTGTCATCCGGTAGGTTTCTTCAGGCTTAGAAAGCTAACAAACTCATCTGTCGGCTTTCCTCAAGCATGGAAAGCATTTCAACAAACGTCATCCGGTGGATTCCTTCAAGCATAGGAAGCTACCAAACTCATTTGTCACCGATACACTGGTGTCAGATAAACATTCTATCCCTTTACTCTTTTATCTGTGGAACTAACATTTTTCTGCAGGTATCGGCGTATATAGAGTGATTTAGGATCGCAGAACGTCTTAAATCATTCTCCGTCCCTATCAACTACTTTGACTATAGTTTTCGAAACTGACGTTTCTACAAACTTAGTCAAAGTGGGGGCTTCTGTAGACACCTAAAAATGTCTCCCCAAAACCAAACCCGATGATGAACAACCTTTCACCGCCATTATTGGTCGGGTAGGGTATCTAATTTTTGAGCGCTTAAATCCATATTTCGATTTCATAAACCAACCCAATTCCTAGCCCATTTCCCCAAACCATAACTTATTTTACTCTTTTCGTGCCTTTAAACCCAAAATAATTCATTTCGTGTCCTTTAAAATCATTCATTTCGTGTCCTTTTTGTAAAACGTTTAATCCATTTTATTTTGGTCCATAATCTGGGTTCAATGATTAAATAGTTGGATGGGGCTTTAAAATAGTTTTCCAACGATATATCATAAGTCCAAATCCGAGTTATAACGAATAAGTTATGGCCAAAATATTAAATTGAGCCCAAACCGAACCTAAGCCCACCTTACCTACGACCCAATGATCATGTGGAGGGTCCAAATTATTTAATACCATTCCTAAACTAATTAGGATTAATTAGAAACTTCTATAAGTTTCTAAAAGATCTTAATTATCCTTTTTGAAAAGATAAGATTAAAGAGTTTGAAATTGAATAAAACTCCTTTTTTTGAAAATCCTATTTATATCCGAATTGAAAGACGTTCAAATATAGACAGATATTATTTTCTTGCATCATAGTTTTTATCCAAATTTTAAATGGTTGGATAGCCCTTGAAATTATCTTTCCAATGATATATAATAATATCAATTCCGAGCTATAACGGAAAAGATATGAATAAAATGTCAAACTCTATCCAAAACTGACACCGTCTCACTATTTCGGCCATATCTTTTGTTCTACAAAATATTTTAATCTAATTTTAATTGTTTTAGAAAGTATACTTCAAGAGCTTTTCAACGATATCTTATTCATCTTATTCAGATTTCTGGATCAAAAGATATGATAAAAACAAAAATCGCAAAAACTGCTGTCTATCGCAAGAGTTTTAATCCGATTAGAACTCGATCTTTTCTTAATTCTTCGACCCTTCTTTTTTTTTCTCTATAAATAGAGGTCATATAAACCCTTTTTCCAATCAACAAGCTTGATCATCAAATCATTCTCTTCTCCCTCTTTAGCCTAAACACTAGCCTCCCCATTCTTTCACTATTTCTTCCTTTAAGCACTCCAAGGAGTCCATACAATACCTGAAGTTCTATACTTAAACCAAGGCGTGAAAGTTATAATTAACTAAGGGTTTGGACCAAATCAAATCTTTTTATTTAATTTAATTTCCATTTGATTTATATTTATATTGAAGTTACTAACAGTTTATTCATGATGTAGCAATTTAAAGGAACGCGCGGAATGTGAGTAATTATTAATTAATTTAATTACTCTTATTTTAATTTCTTATTGCTAGTATCATGATTAGGTTATTTTATATTTGATTTGACTAACGCTATTATGGTTAAATTGCTTCCAATATTAATGTTTATTGTATTATTATTTATGATCACCATATCGCATGTTTAAAGGGAATATGTAATTGAAAATCACGCCGCTAAACTAGTACATAATTGAGTTTACATAACACGTGTTTGTAACACTTATTAAAGGGCAAAATTAATAGATTTATAAGTAACACTTTGGTAACATTTTTGTAGATTGTAACACTTAATGTAACACTTTTAAAATAAGTAACATTACAAAGTATCACTTTTCACATAGGTAACATTATAGAGTAACACTTTTGAATAGATAACATTTTATAGTAACACCTAAGAAGTGTTACCTTATTTTATAACATCCCTAACCTATAAAGCTCTAACATGGCATTACTCCTCTTCTCATCTGCTAATTGATTAACTAAAATTAGTTTTGTTCGCTAATAAGGACAAATATGTAAATTACCCTCGTTGCCTTTAGCCTTCTCTAAGGCCTTGTTCTTTTGAGTTACTCTGCTCTACTCTGCCTTGCTCTGCTCTACTGTGTTGAAATCTACTCTACTCTACTAAAAATCGCTCTGCTGATCAACTTTGTTATGTTCTGTAGTGTGTGGAAGCCATGCTCTGCACTTCTTTGCTCTGTTCTACTGAAATCTACTCTGCCTAAAAGCTCAAAAATTCGAGCCTAAGTTGTAAGTACTTCAACTCTCTTTTTTCTCTTTTTTCTCTTTTTTTTTTTTATTTGAGGGGAAAAGTATTACAACTCTACGAGTAATAAAATTCCTCAAAGTATTTTACTTTAAAAAAAGAAAAAAAAAAAAACTCTACAAGTGACAAAATAAAAACTTGTTTAAAAAAAAACAACAAAATAAAAACTTTACAGGTTTATATTGCTCGATTCTTTCTCCCACTTAGAAATGATGAACCCTAACATACCTCCAATTGATTAATCGAAACTCCCAAATTGATTGCTCGAATCTCCCAAATTGATTGCTCGAATCTTTTATTTCTCGATTACTCATTTCTGCTTGATTCTCTTACGCCTGAAGTGCTTCCAATTGATACGATAGAATTGCTGGATACAATTCTCTCTGCTGCTCAATTTTTGTTTGAGTAATCGCCCAAATCGAAAGTTTCAGGTATCAATTTTATTATTGTATGTTGTGTTTTTGATAGAAGTGGAGAAATTGTGTGATAATTTGTTGAGTTCATGCGATTTGAAAGTCACTTTCAGTTTTGCCATATCAATTTTGTAATTACTGATCGAATTTTCTCTTTTCGCTCGAATTTGCTGCAAGTTCGATATCGCTAATTTGTGATGTTTTTTTTAGATTCTTAATTATATGAGCTAATTTTGTTTATTGTCCTGATTTATGTTGAAATGCAGTTAATTGATTATTCCATAAAACTTTGTGTTAAATATTACTTTTTTTTTTCCCGCTAATCCACAGTTTATAATTAACTTTGATGAATGATTATTGATATTTTTGAACTGATTTGCTTCTGTTTGATTGTCTAAATGGATGGTTGAAAAGGATGGAAGGATTGAGGGGGTTAAGAAGAGGGTTTTTGTTGCTAGGTTTTGACTTGTTGATGTGTATATTTCGATATTCATTCTACTAAAACTAATGGTATAAATATTTATGAACAATGGGATAGAACTTAATTGGCAGACTATGTATTGATCCCTTGCCTTTAAGACAATCATGTACGAAGTGCTGGGAGTATGATCAGGTATGCCGCATTGTGACAATTAGGTAATCCATTAAGATGCAAACAGGTCTGAACACTCTAGTAAATTTCAAAGAACTAACCTCACTCCTATAATACATTTGGTATAGCTTAGAATTTCTCCAATTTTAGAGACCCGCCAAAACTCTACTCACCCATCCCAGTTTAAGCACTGATATAGTGACATATTAACTTGTAGATTGAAGTATACCCTGATAATTGCAAGCAAAAATCCTTTATGTATTCAGAGCCTTATATTATCTCTTGTATATGTTTGATAACAACTACTCTATAGTAGAAGCTACTAAAATTATCTGACACCAAAACCCATCAAAAAAATAACTTTTGGCAAGACTTATGCTTCGTGGCTGGGACTACATCTTCATCAGTTGTGTCAAGCAAAACTGTTTCTTTTGCTGGTTCAGTGCCATCTCCCACTACAGCCGCCTCTGTTGAATGTAGTAGTTTTTCTGTAAGCTTTGTTTTAAGCTCGTCTTTTTCTCTTACATTTTCAATGAGAAACTTTCTAACTGATCTTTCCCACGGAAATTATGGCAGTTGAATATCACCCTGATTATTTATTAGCTTGTTCTTGACACCCAAACTTATGAGCTCTGCATCCCTATGTATGCCCTTGCCATACTCGATTTAAAATTCAGTAGTTCTAAAAGGGGGTGCATGCTTGTTCTTTAGGATTTTCACAAGGACCTGACTCCCGACAATCTGCAGAATGAAATAGTACATATAGTTAAGGGGATTCATACACTATTTCAAACGATATTTTTATTAGTTCTTAATGGTTATCCTACCCCTAATTCAATGATTCAATCACTTAAATGTTTCTGCATCCCCTAGCCAGATTCATTTTGCTAATAGCTTTGAAGATAGCTAGGGTCAAGAGTCTACTAAAATTTGTTTACAACAATTAAAAAGTAATGAACTAGAATTAGCAATGTAAACTTTGATAATCAAGCTAATATTTCTAGGGGTCTGACACTCTAAAAATCTATTTGTGATCAATGATGTCCGTCAACTAACTGTTTTGTGTGTTCTTTGTAGGAATCAAGATCTAGATGGACATTATGAGAAAGCTAGACAAGCTAAGCAAGGATAGAACAAAATAGAATCAGAATGAGGGATTCGGGGGTTACATTCATGTTTTATACACTGAAACAGTCGATGAAGGGATCGAAATAAACAAAAAAAAAAAGTAAGAAGGTGACTAAAGATACTGACGAGTATACACCCGATGAAAAAGGAGAATTGAACCACTCATGTGAAGAGGATTAAAATCAGATAAGGAAAAACAGTGTAAACTTGAGGTCTCATTAAAAAAAGGTCGTTCTTTTTTTTTTTTTTTTTTTTTTTTTTCTTTCTTTAATCCTGACATCTAAATTTTTTGAATCCCAATTGTAAAAAAATCATGTAATACTTTCATTGTTTTTTAATGAATACTTTATAGCAAGAGATGACGCCATAAGAAGTGTGCATGCTTGCATATATGTATGTGGTTGATGTTTAGGGAGATACAGAAAAGAATTTTTTTATCCCCAGGATTGAAAAGATTGGAGCTGCCCGCTAAGCTTATTGTTACTGCTGTTGCAGTCTCTTATTGTTAGCGTTGTTTTTCTGCTGCTGTCACTTACGGTTACTGCTGTTTTGCAGCTGCTACTGTTGTTTTTTGCTATTGATTCTGCTACTTTTTGGTGCTACTGCTGTTTTTTTGCTGCTACTGCTCTTTGTTGCTGACTCTTGCTGGTGCTGTTTGCTGCCACTGCTTCCTGCCACTTTTATTTGCTGCTACATGATGTCTGCTAGAAGCTCTGTTGCTGCTGCTGCAATTAGTCTAGCATTTGTTTCTTTTAATTTTTTTTCACTTTTTTTAGATAGAGATCGAAGTTAATTTTCTTTTTGTTTTGATTATCATCTTGTTTGGCCAAACATTAAAATTGGTGTGTATGGATTTTTTTTTGAAAGAATTATGAAATTATTTCAATTCAAATTATTATCTATCATATATGTTAGTTTCTCATTCTTTATTGTTAATTTTATTTTATATTTAATAATAATAATAATAATAATAATAATAATAATAATAAATGTTACCTATTAATGAATAAGTGATACATAATGTCGAATACAGTGCTTACTATATGTCAAAAGATGATCGAAAAATGTTACCTTATAATAAACAAAACTGTTACATTAGTATAAAAAGTGAAATGTCGGATAAAGTGATACTATATGATTGAAAATGTTACTAAAGATAAGTAAGTGTTACGTAAGAAATAAAAAGTAACACTTTAAAAATGATACTAAAAATGTAAAAAGTGTTACATAAAGAGGGTTTATAGTATCACTATTGAAAGTGTTACCATATATTACCCAAAGTGTTACATAAGACCTTAGGTAACATGGGCGGAAGTATCACCCAATAAAGTGTTACATATTGTCTATAATAACACTTTTACCACTTTATGTAACACTTTTTGGGTGTTACTTGAAGTTAGTTTTGTACTAGTGGCCTAATAAGATAATTTGGACAACCGGTTTAGGTTCCTTTTTAATCTTGTTATTCATTCAAGTGATCACAAATATTTTAGAATTATATGTTGCATTAATATTAAACCAATTTAGCTTAATGATAGTTTGGAGCAAATTGAATCTTTGTTTGTATGCCTTTGAGATCGCAGGAATTACTTTTCACTATAAGAATCGAGTAGAAGCCAATACGGGCGAATGTGACTCCATGACTCACTTCGTACCATCATCCCCGATCCTCCTTTCGTGGTTCCGAACCATATGGAGTTATTAATCTCATGGATTATGAATGGGGTGTAACGTTCACGGGTCAATCGTTGTTGCCTATCGTTGTCCCTTTATTGTGGTTGCCTTTTATGATCCGTGAACGGTTTACAAGTTCCTTAAAAACTTGTTGGCGGCTCCCTACTTTCCTTGTCCCTAATCGTATATGTCAATTCCCACTTCCTATGAGTGCCAAGCATATTCACACATGCTCTAACGTAGGCGCACTTCGAGCGACGCCTACAATACCGATCTTCATAATGCTTTGCCGCCTCTTCTATGACTTGTTCCACCTGATCTTCTCCTTTGTTCATGATTGGGCCACTGGCTCCGGCATCTAAGATTGTTCTTCCTTAAGGTGAGAGACCACCATAGAAAGTATGAATGAGTTGATACTTGGGTATTCCATAATGTGGACATTGGCGTTGGAGTTCTTTTTATCTTCCTATGCCGCACTTAGGGACTCTCCACTCTTTTGGCGAAAGCTTTGAATCAAAGATCGAGCTTCGGCAATTTTTCTATGATTATTGAACCTTTTCAAGAATGACGTGGTAACTTAATCCCATGTTGAGAGAGAGTTTGGGGGCACCGCCTTCTCTAGCCATTCTAAACCTTTCCCAATTAAAGAGAACGGGAACATCTTGAGTCACCCCATTGGCTTTTATTGTGTCACAATATTTCTCGAATTCTTTTAGATGTTCATGAGGGCTCTCATACTTCCCACCCAAAAATTGTTTCTGCTCTCTATCAAGGCAATCAAATTAGGCTTGATTTTGAAATTATTGGCTTGAGTAGAGGGAGCATTGCTTACACTTTGCGCTCTAAAGTCTTCGGGAGCCCCAAGATGACGCAAAGGCGTATTCTCTCCCAATTTTTAGGGGTTTCAAGCTCTCAAAGTCAAAGGTAGAAAAAGGATTGATTTCCAAACTAGGTGAAGAACTAGGACTACCTACACCTTTACTTGAGGGTGAAGAAGGCAGAGTATCTTCTTCTTTGTTCGCTCACTCTCTTGTAGGGGTATCAGAGTTTCTACTTCTTGCTCTAGCTTCTCTTCTTAGCAATGACAAAGACCTCTCGAGCTCGGGATCGATGGGGACCAAAGATCTTGAACGAGTTTGACCTCTAATCATACAAAAAAAACTAAGAAGAAAGTGAACACTAAAAAACAACAAAAGTAATCAAAACTAGCAAATAAAAGGTGAGATAGTCTCAATAAAGCAATAAAATAACAATGGAAAGCGTCTCCCCGGCAACAGTTCTAATTTGACAAAGTAATAAACACGTCGTCAAATGCATATCCCTAAATGTAATAATATTTATAAAACCTAAACCAACCTAAATCAAGTAAAAGGTATGCAAAGGTTCGAACCGTAGGGAGAAGTTATACACCGTAATCACAAATAATCAATAAAGCTATCTCGGAACAAAGAGTGGAATTATCTAAGAGATTAATCTATAAGAGCAAATTGAATTTAAGACAATATATAGAAAACACCAAGGGGAATGGGTAGATGTAGGTTTCACTTAAACATGCAACATCATAGAAAAGAATCGATAATGAACTAAACATGCATAAATATTTATATAGATGGTCCAATCTAGCCACCTGTCTGGGTTAATTGGCTTCTCCTAACATAGCCTCTATGTTGTCAGATTAGAACCATATACTAGGAGGTTCTTGACAAGGGGAAAACTAGGTCGTTATCTAATCTTCCCTTGGTCAAACTAAATTTATAAACACTTAACAAATCTAAATAAAAGTATAGAGGCAAGTCAAGGGTCGAACCCAAAGGAACGGTAATGTTCAAATGCTTTCGATTTGGGTGCCTAAGCGAGGCCGAAGCCAAAGATAAAGAGAGAATACTAACAACTAACAAAACAAGTAACGAAGTAAAAAACACTAGGAACGGGGATCAACAAGTAGTCATGTCAATTGCAACAACTTGGTAAGAGCATGCCAATCAAAGGTTGTGAAGACTAATGATAAGAGCTATCTCTTAATATATTAACAAGAGATTTAAAAAATGTCATTGGGGAGTGGTGGAAAAATCAAACATATGAGATTCTTCATTAAGGGAAAAAGCACATCACAAAAGGCATGGTACATAATGAAGAATATTGAAACACACCATTAGCATCAACTTGAGCATGCACCTCATCATCATGAACAAAAGGGGAAATATTGTTGAAATCATGCGTTCTAGGTTCGTTTATGGGATCATGTGACAAATCATGGGAATTCATGCTAATATTTGAAGAATCAAGACATTGCATACAAATATTAGACTCATGATTACCTCTATTATAAAAATCCCTACCAAAACAAACATAAAAATCCCAAGCATCATCAATTGACAATGCTCTAAATTCACCATTATGCATACCTTTAATTTCATCCCTATTTTTCTCATTCAAACCAAAATAACAAATCTCACAAGCGTCCCAAAGATTACAACAATTATAGTCCAAAAATCCCTCAAGTCTCTTGAAATATTCACAAAAAGTCTTATCGTCAAATTGAGGAAACGAAAGATATGCCATTTTATACAAAACAAACAAAAATCAAATAAAAGAAAAGTATAACAAAGACCTAGACTCAAGCAATCAATCACTCTCAATTATAGACACCGTTACCCGACTACGGCGCCATTTTGACGAGTATAAAGGCAAGTAAAGGGTCGAACCCAAAGGAATGGTAATGTTCAAATGCTTTCGATTTAGGTGGCTAAGCTAGGTTGAAGCCAAAGATAAAGAGCGATTACTAACAACTAACAAAACAAGTAACCAAAGAAATAAAACACTAGGAACCGGGATCAACAAGTAATCATGTCAATTGCAACAACTTGGGAAGAGCATGCCAATTAAAGGTTGTGATGACTAATGATAAGAGCACTCAATTGGAATTAAAGAGCTATCTGCTAATTGTTAAGCTATGGTTTACTATGAATAAAAAACTAAGAGAATCACAATCCAAACCAATCAATAATTGCAATTCCTAAATCAATTGGTCATGTCATTAGCAATCATAATGCAATCTAGCATATTCTCAAGGCCTAATCAAATTACACACATGAAAACCTTCATTAATAACTGTAATCTCAATAATCAATCCACATATTGACAAATTAAACACAATCAATCAATCATACAAGTTTCACCCAATTCTTTGCTAAACAACTACTCAAATATCATCATCTATCAACTAACAACTAAGGAAATCAAGAATCGACAATATATGAAGAACAATTACACTATCAAGAATCAAACATCAAAATTAAACCACACAAATATGAAATTAAACAAAGCATTAAGGTGAGATAAAGTTACAAATGATCATTGATAATAGAGAAGATCTTCGACACAATTGTCACCCTTTTATCTTCAATCTCTCAATCATCATTGAAATCCCACACTTTATCTCTCTAAAAATACTCCTAATCTAGAGAGAGAGACTCCTAAACTAACCTTATCCTCCTTAGAGGAGAGAGAAACTATTCTGAAACTAAAGAATTTCATTATGAAGACTAAAGAAAGCCGTGCAATATATAAACAAACGGAGAAAAAAAATGAAATCGCAAATAAAACCCAGAAAGCCACGCCCGCAGAGAAATCGGCCGCGCCTGCGGAGGAGAAAAGCTGGAACAGAGCAGCCTGATGCCGCGCCCGCGACTAAAATTCGCGCCCGTGGCCAGCCCGCGGCAGGTTATTGTTCGAAATTGATTTATTTGAGGTGCAGCAAACACGTCAAATAAAAAGAACGCATTTCTCTAAACTTACACGCAAGCACGCAAATCAATCATAATTCTCAAAAACACGATTTAAACGACTTAAAACGAGCATAAAAATATGAAGAAAACCTATTCTAAGAGTGCCATAAATAGCACACATCAGTGCTATCAAGTAACAATCGATAGAAATGAACTTAGCTAAGTTAACCGTCGTTTCATTTAGCAAAGATTCACCTTTAATCAACTAACAACGTGCACTTTGCAAGAAGATCAAAGAACAGTAATCAAGCATGTAAAGACTTTAATCACAATCAACTTGAATCCTAACACTATAAGCATGAGCAAACTCTAACTAAATCATCCCCACACCCTTGGCTAAATAACTACTCATTATCCATGGCA